CGTATTCATATCTGTTGTCTGCCATTTTATAGTTGTAGGGTCTTGAGCAAGTTACTGAACCTCTCTATACCCCAGTTTTCTCATCTGGTAGGGATGATATTACCTCGTGAGGATGCTGTGTTGATTAAATTGAATATATACAAAATCCTTAAAACAGTGCCTGGCATTGCTATGTAAATATTATAGCATTGCTGCCATTATTGTTTCTCTGCAAATATATATGTAAGTGGGTTTGGGAGTTTGCATTAATTTGTAAATAAAATAATTTAGCACTCCACCTGTCAATACAATTTTTAAAAAATTTCTGTCAAAGCATAGCTAACATACATCTTGTACAAAAAGTCAAATGATGCCAAAAGTTTATAAGGAAAACATTTGCTGCCTCCTCACTCCCTACCACCACTTCTCACCAAAGGCAGTCACTCCCTGTTCTCCTAGTTGATTTTGCTGCCATTTACTCCCATATTTCTTTTTTTTAAAATTATTTTAAAGATGTGGGGTACAATTCACGGTTAAGTATACAAATGTTCATTATGCAGGCACCCTCGTTGATGAGGTGTGCCCCCCAGGCAGTTTCCCATTATTGCCAATCCCACCCCCTCTCCCCTAGCAGTTTCCCACTACTGCCAATTCCTTTCTTATAGTATTATGATAATTGTTCAAGATCCCCTTATGAATGAGAACATAGGTACACTGTTCTTTGTTTCTGTGACAGATAACTGAGTATGATAGACTCAATCCATCAAAGTTGCTGTGAAGTCCATATATTTGTCCTTCTTTATGGCTGCATAATATTCCATTGTGTATATATACCACATTTGCTTTTTCCTGTCCAGTTTCGATGGGCAGCATAGTTGCTTCCATGTTTTTATTGTTGTGAATAGTGCTGCAGTAAACACACATGTGCAGGTGTCTTTCTTGTAGAATGATTTGCATTTACTCCCATATTTCTAAATATTTGTACATACTTTTACAAACATACAATGCACACAAATCAATAAACAAAAAAAAATCAATGAAACCTAAAGCTGTTTCTTTGAAAAAGATCAGTAAAATCGATAAATTTCTAGGTAGTAGAACCAAGAGAAAAGACACAAGTTACCAACATCAGGATGAAAAGGGGGATATTACTGCAGATCTCACAGACATTAAAAAGATAATAGCCGGGCTCGGTGGCTCAGCCTGTAATCTCGCACCTTTGGGAGGCTGAGGTGAGTGGATTGCCTGAGCCCGCGGGTTCGAGACCCGCCTGGGCAACTTGGCGAAACCTCATCTCTACAATAAATCAAAAAAATTAGCCGGGCGTGGTAGCGCGCACCTGTAGTTCCAGCTACTTGGAAGGCTGAGGCGGAAGGATCGCTGGAGCCCAGCAGGTCGAGGCTGCAGTGGCTGGGAGTGGCCACTGCACTCCAGTCTGGATGACAGAGTGAGACTCCAATTCAAAAAAAAAAAAAAAAAAGGATAAGGATACAGTTTTCAACTCCTCAGGCTGCTGTAGCGAAATTACCATAGACTGGGTAATTTATAAAAAACAGAAATTTAGCTGGGCTCAATGACTCAGCCTGTAATCCCGTGCCTTGGGAGGCTGAGGTGAGTGGATTGCCTGACCCTGCGGGTTCAAGACCCGCCTGGGCAACTTGGCGAGACCTCATCTCTATGATAAATCAAAAAATTAGCCAGGCGTGGTAGCGCGCACCTGTAGTTCCGGCTACTTGGAAGACTGAGGCAGAAGGATCGCCGGAGCCCAGTAGGTTGAGGCTGCGGTGGCCGGGAGAGGCCACTGCACTCCAGTCTGGATGGCAGAGTGAGACTCCAACTCAAAAAAAAACCCAGAAATTTGTTCACAGTTCTGGAAGCTGGGAAGTCTAAGATCAAGGCACTGGCAGATTCTTCATCTAGTGAGAACCCATTCTTTGTAGTACCTTCTTGCTGTATTCTCTTGTGTTAGAAGGGACCAACAAGCTCCCTCAAACCTCTTTCTATAAGAGTACTAATTCTATTCATCAGGGTACAGCCTCCTAAAGGTCCTACCTCTTAATACTATAGCATTGAGGATATATAATAAACCAGTAAGCACAAGTAGTGATTTCCTGAGTTCAGTGAGTCATTCTAGCCAGTTGAACCAGAGATGGGGTCAGGGGAACTCCTGAACTTGTAATTGGCCTAGCAGAAGTGTGGTTAGCCTGCGGCTGATATCTGCTACCGGGGCAGTCTTGTGAGACTGGGTCTTTGACCTGTTGGGTCTACACCAATTCAAGGTATTGTCCCAAGTTGGATTGAATTGTTGGACACTCATTTAACGGGAGAAAAACTATGCATTTGATGTCAGAAAAAAAGTAAAACTATTAGACTTTTAGAAAAAAAAACCCAAGCATGATTCATAAAAGTAAAAATTGACAAGTTGGATAGATATCAAACAAATTGAAATTCTTTCCTCTGCTAAAGACCCTGTTAAGGAAGTAAAAAGACAAGCTACAGACTGGGAGAAAATATCTGCAACCATATATTGGACAAATAATTTATATCCAGAATATACAAAGATCTCTCAAAACTGAAGTTTTTAAAAACGTAGAAAATGGGTGAAAGACATGAGCAGATATTTCACTAAAGAGAATGTATGGATGGTAAATAAACATGAAAATATGTTCAACAGCATTAGCCATTTACAGCATATGTAAATTAAAACCACAAGATCTAACTACATACACATCAGAATGGCTGAAATAAAAAATGATGATAACACAAATGCTGATAAGAATGTGGAGAGGCTGGTTGCGGTAGCTCAAGCCTGTCATTTCAACACTTTGGGAGGCCGAGGCAAGAGGATTGCCTGAACCCACAGGCTCGCAACCAGCCTGGGCAACTTGATGAGACCTCATCTCTACAATAAATCAAAAATTAGCCGGGCATGGTAGTGTGCGCCTGTAGTTCCTGCTACTTGGAAGGCTGAGGTGAAAGGATCACCACAGCCCAGCAGGTCGATGCTGCGGTGACTGTGAGCATGCCACTGTACTCCAGCCTGGGCAATGGAGTGAGACTTTAACTTAAAAAAAAAAAAAAAAGAATGGATAAATGGATCCACGTAAATTGGTGGGAATGTAAGAGTGTACAGCTACTCTGGGAAATAATTTGGCAGTTTCTTAGTGTACTAAGCACGTGTTTACTATATGAACCAGCAATGGAACTTTTGGGCATTTATCCCTTAAAAGTGAAAACATGGTCACACAAAAATCTGTACACAAATGTTCACAGCAGCTTTATTTGTAGTAGCAAAATATTGACCCTAATGCCTTTCAAACAGTGAGTGTTTAAACAAACTATTGTATACCATTGAGCAGGGGCCCCCAACCCAGGCCACAGACCCATGTTAGCAACCGGCTGGCACAAGAGGAGAACCAGTAGGTGAGCTCAGCCTCCTGTCAGATGAGCGACTGCATCAGATGCTCAAAATGGCGCCAACCTTATTGTGAGCTGCGCGTGCTAGAGGGATCTAGGTTAAGCGCTCCTTTTGAGAATCTAATCCCTACTCCCCCCCCACCACATCGTGTAAAAGTTGCCTTCCACGAAACCAGTCCCTGATGCCAAAAAGCTTGGGGACAGCTGCCATTGAATACTACTTACCAATAAAAAGGAACGAAGTGGCTGGGCGCGGTGGCTCAAGCCTGTCATCCCAGCATTTTGGGAGGCCGAGGTGAGGGGATTGCCTGAGCCCACAGGCTCGAGGCCAGCCTGGGCAACATGGCGAGACCTCGTCTCTACAGTAAATCAAAAACTCAGCCTGGAGTGGTGGCCTGCTCCTGTGGTTCCAGCTACTTGGAAGGCTGAGACGGAAGGATCGCCTGAGTCCAGCAGGTCGAGGCTGCGGTGGCTGTGAGCAAACCACTGCATTCCAGCATGGGTGACGGATTGAGATGCCAACTCAAAAAAAAAAAAAAAAAAAGTAATGTTATCCACTACTACAGTGGATCTCAAGGGAATTATGTTCAGTAAGAAAGGCCACATACCGTATGATCTCATGTATATGGCATTCTGTAAAGGCAAAGCGGAAGCCACGGACTACATTGCGATTGCCTGGGGTTGTGGGTTGAAGAGGGTGCAACTACAAAAGGGCAGCAGGAATTGTGCGACGATGCTGTACTTTGGCCTGACGGTGGAATATTCATTAAAATTCGTAGAACTGAATACCCAAAAGCATGTGTGTACATTTAAAATATATAAACTGTTCAGATACATGTTTTGAAAATCAGTTCACACAAAAGAACCAAAATGTCATCCTCATGCTCTCCGCTGTCTGGAAAACCCTGGAACGGGAAGCAGCTTCCCAGACTGGCCGGCCTCTGGAGTGGCCACGTCTCTGCGAGTCCCCGACCCAGCTGCCGCGCTCTTTCCGCGGAGTCAGCGGCCCCCGAGTCCGCCGCACAAATGGTCTTCGAATTCTGTCTGTTCCTGGAACTGCATGGGTCCTGGCTGACGGGTTCCAGCCTCGCCTTTGGGTCTCCCGGTTTCTGACTCTGTCTCCATAACTGAGTCTCTAATCCCTGGCTCTCCCTTTCTCTGGGTCCGCCTGTCTCCCTTTCTCTGCGTCTCTCCCTCTCTCCCTTCCTTCCCCCCTCTTTGCTCTCTGGGTCTTCATGTTTCCATCACTCCCAGCCTGCGTCTTTTTGTGTCTCTGTGTCTCTGTCTCGCAGTGTCTCTCCCTGTCTCCCCCACTCTCTATGCCTGTCTCTAGGTCTTCGTGTTTCCATCACTCCTCTACGTCTTTTTGTGTCTCTGCCTCTGTCTCTCCGGCCTTTGTCGCTCCGGTGTCCAGGGCATATTCTTCTCGGGTTGTTTGCTTGGTTACTACGGCATCGGGGATGACGCACGCTGGCAGGGGCGGGCCGTTGAGAGCTAGGCACCTCCGATTGGCTGTCGGCCTTGTCGCGGCAGAATCGTTCCGCGGCATTCTGGGAGTCGGAGTCCGCCGCGGGGGCCTGCCGCGCACGCGCAGTCAGGCCGGCCGCCATCGCGCCTCCGGGGCTCGGGCGGTTGGGACCGGCCTCGGGTCGCTGCGCAGCAGGTGGGTTGGACCGACTCCGCTGCGCTGGGACGAGGACGGGTCCGGGAGCGATCCCGCGGGGGATGGCGGCGCCTGGAGGTGTGGGGGGAGGGGACCGGGGCGGTCCCAGGGGATGGGGTACTATACCTCGTAGTCGGTCCAGGAGGGAGCGTGTCTGGGGTCGGGGCGGTGGGGAGGCCGGGTCTCCAGTGGAGCGATCCCCGGGGGTGGGGAGGAGGGGACAGGGCCAGAGCTAGCCCCTTGTGGGCGCTCGGACGGCGCGGGTGGTCGGGGGTGCCCCGCTGCGGGCCTGGATCGGGGAGGGGAGAGCGCTGCTCCCCTGTAGGCCCCGGGAGGTGGGGAGCCGGAGCTTAAAGCGCCGTGCCGGGGTGGAGTGTCCGGGAATGGGAGGGGC